CACTGAATTAACAGGTGAGTAACTTGTTGTGTTAATCACTGAGTCCCCCCTTTATTTCTGCTCCCTTCCCCAACAGCCAGAGTAAAAGACAAATTCCATTATGATGGTCAAGAAACATCTCAAGAATATCCAGAAAATCAAAAGTTTATTTCAGTTTCAGATACTTTCAATAATGAAAGCAAAATGTGAGATTCACAAAGGGATATTAGTGATACTTACAAAATTAGTGAAAAAGTCAATGACTCAATCTTCTCTTTACCCTCAGCCCAGTGACTGGGATATTTACATGGCCAGAAGAAACCCAGTACAGGACCCTACCCGCCACAGAAATTGCCCACTTGACGCACACACATGCTCTAGCTACTGGGCTCATCTTTTACATGCTGTCCTGCGGAAGCTTTTCAGATTGATCCAGGCAATATTTAAATATTTTATACAGTGACAGGAAAACAGCTGAGTTTTTACTCAGAGTTATCTGAGTAAATTAATATTTAACTATTCCATGTAAAATGTGTGTACTGTAAGCATCAAGGTTTATTTCCACAGTTTTCAAAGGGAAGCAGATCCTTTGAAAATCTAGCCCTTCAAAAACCAAAACTGGTTTTAACATCTAATTTTTTTCAGGAAAAATCACTCAGCAAATTCAATAATGTTAATAAATTATTCAGAATAGTTTATTTACTGAACAAATGCATTTGCCAAAGATTCACCATGTTCTTCTGCACACAGCAACTTCTTTTATGAAAAATAATATACAATCCAATTTGGCGGTTTGTGCAATATGACAGCCCAGAACCCATCTGTTACTGAAGCCAACTGCAAGGTTGGTTAGGAATCTAAGCTACGCAAGTAGAATTATTTTTCTGAGCAAGAAATGCAAAAGCAGCAAGATGGATATTACTGTGTTGGAGAAGTATAGGTAAGAAATGGACCATGAGCTAGATACCAAAATAAGAAAAGATGCCTGAGTGAAGGTCCACCATAGGAGAAGTCCTTGAGAAAAAATGAAGATTATAAATCTGTCTCCAAACAGGTACAGATCTAAGAATAAAATTCCTGAATCAGAGTCATATTACATTCAGCTAAGCATTTTAGCATGTGTGCACTTTATACATGAACATGATCATTTAAAAGAAACAGCTGATCAAACTCTCCTCCTAAAGAAACATAACCAGTAAGGCTTCAAAACTGCGTACTATGCTTATGTCAGAAATACATGTTTCAGCAAAAAAGAGGAGAGGTCTGTATCATTTCCATCATATTTATTATTAAGTACTACCATATGATTTACTGGCAAACTGTGCTATCGAAACTGTGATTTGGTGATGCAGAATCCTGGGTGGTTTGTGGCAGATGAGAGGAATAATTCCATCTCCTCTCCACTTTGAAGAATCAACAAGCATATGAAAACACGGAGATGGAACATATGCCTCCCAGCCAGCAAAAAGTGAGCATAATTCCAGAAAGGGCAGAATGGAAGGAGAAAAGAGAGACCTCAAGGATGAACAGACTGGCAAGATCAAAAAGGGAATGGAACTAAGAAGACAAAGAGTTTAGCTGGTAACAGACCTGAAGTTCACAAACCACACAGACAGAAAACCCTTGATATAAGTCAGACTGGCAGTGTTGAAAGCAAGTGGAATTAAGAAGTTGCAGTGAACTGGAAATACGCAGAAAACTATTTCCAGCATCTCGGCCAAGGGCCAATAACCTCCTAAAATGAACTATCTTGATCACTTGCCATTGTGTAGCCATACTATAAGGCTACTTCAACTGTATTTTAGTGTTCACCTATTCCATTCATAGCTAATGTCCATTCAACTGAACGGGTTACAAACAACACCTTAGGCAATATCTATATTACACAGTAATTAGAATAGAATACAAAAGACGCGTTTCACCAAAAACAAACTTCAACCACTTATATAAGGATGCAAACGAAAGACAAAAAAGCAAACAATTAAAAATAAGATATACTTGTGTAACACTAATCATTACTAGCCAATAAGCATCTGATCACAGGGTTCCCACAGGTCTGCAGTCTTTCTCATTAAGTATTTCCTGAAAGTATGCCTAATATTCTAAATATTCCATTTGACAATATTTCTATGCAGAAGATGTATGCTTTTTTCTATAATGGATAGTAGCAAAATACCAGCAACATGGGATTGGATTAATATTTCAATATTAAAAGTGATATCCTCCAGTACAAAAAAAAAACCAAGAATCCAGACAGGACCATATTGTAAGGTGGACAAAAAAAAAAGACAACAGACAAGATTTTTTAAGAATGGACTTTTTTCAGTTACTGGAAAGCTAGTACCAAAAGAGACTGCTATGGTAACTTGCAGAGCTGGAGGAGAGAGCACTGCTCTCACAGCCCCATGTAAAGCACAATCCTGATTGCATTGCAGTGAAACAACTGCACAGCCTTCCTGCCACAGTGCAGCTGCATCCAGCCTCAGCACAGGACAATACCTGAAGATCTAGAAAGCCATTTCCACTAGCTATTTTTAGTCCTGGGTTTGTATTTTATATTTCAGATGTGCTAGAGATCTTTCTTGTAATGCTTGTATGAGTATTAATAAAATAATTAAAACTATTCATTTTCCACTAGTCCCTTGCTACAGTTTTCCAATAATAACCATGCTCTATAATACTGTTACACTATAATTCTGCTATCAATGTTTTTTAAGGATTACTTACTTTCATTTTGTTAAGTGCACATAGACTTGCAATAGACATTTCTATAACTAAATGGATGTTATGGTTTAGGCAGTTGCTTGTACACTATTTCCTATTTGGGACCAGATCATGCTGCTTCCGTCGAAGGTAACTTCATAAAGTTCAAGTCAAACAACTGGTGTCAGGAAAATGCTTGACAGAAGTTTAAACTAGAGCTAGAAAAAGTGTTAAGCCACAGAGTGGTCCAAAAAGGTATATAGAGAATATTTTGTTTATTTTAGCCATCAAAACCCTAGCTAAATAAACAAAATTGATAAAATAAGAAAGGTCCTGGGTTTCCTTCCTATTCCAGTAGAAAATAAAATGTAGGTATAAGATGCCAAGATCTAAATTTTCTAAAACCTCAAAGAATACTGCAATCAGAAGTTATGAATGCAGAATATATGTACGGTTTAATTATTTTTTAAACTACAAAACCATGCCTTGATAAGCATACGCTTTAACTCTCCATTACGTAGTTACAATGCTGTCATTTCCAACCAACAGCATTCATTTTTTGTGACTATCTTAAATGTCATTCACCATTTCATAACTGTCTGAATAAACATCATTTGTTTAGTTGCTTCAATGTATAGCATATTCTCCTAAACAAAGGTAATAATTAGTTACGTATCTGCATGATCTTGTGATTACCAATCAATGAGAATCCATCTTTCTTTAGGAAAGTAGCTAAAATCTAAACGATGTAGACCAGCATTAAAATCAAAGTTCCTGACTACCAAGTGAAAGACTCATTCTGACAATGTAAATATATTGAATTAAAATCGATCCAATATGCCACTATACATTGCCAGACAATTTTGCTTTTCTGTCATTTGACCACAACAAATTTGTTACTACAAAGTGGATCTCACACATAATTCCACAAGACGGGATCATGTAATAGCCTATTGTACACACCAGGCTGTATGGTCAAACAGAGTGGCATGATGCTGTTGGTGCTCAAGGATACTGTTCATTTAGCATTTTGAAATTAAACACACATTCCTGGTTTGTTTGTCTGAATATAAGGGGTTTGTTTCCTTTCAAAGATATTATTTGACTTGAGACAAACAAATACTTTCTTCTATTGGTCTGTAATTAAAGATGCAGACAGTCCTTGAAATAATTCATAAAGGCATAAATTAATGGTAGTTACAGCCAAGCCTAGGATCCTAGCATTAAAAGAAGCTGCACGTAAAGCAGCATGCATATTGGACAAGAAAAACATCCGGTGACCCTGGCAGGCAGCCTTTCGACAAGCGGCAGAAGAGTATTTTCTTTGGGGTTTCTCCTCAGTGCGAATCACCGTCCGGAGACGGCACCGTACCTGTCCTACTCTTCCTCCTACCGTGGCCGCAGAGAAGAGAAAGGTACTGCCCTTCTGCCCAGGCGGTGGTGCCCCGAAGGCGGCGGGGTGCCCAGCGCCTTGCCGGGGGGGGGGCGCCGGCCGCGA